ATCCTCTCTCCAGATGCCTAGGGCTCCATCTGGTACCTGGAAATCAAAGGAAGCTTTGCCACTAATTTAATTGAAAATTAGTCTGAAAAATCAATGAGAAAGAGTATCCTACTTCTTTTAAAGAGAGAAGATAAGCATAATAATAATTGTTAATGTCATTATCAAAGAACAATTACAGAAACAATCTGAAAGGTTGACTTAACTTGACCTTAACCAACGACTTTTGCAAGATTCATCTGCTAAGAAAAATTTGGAAAAAAAAGTCAGTAAACATCAAATGCCCTACTGGATCAAAAGCTTTTGAAGAAAACAAATAAAAGAGTTACTTTAAGACATAACTAGCCAAAAATAAGTTGATTTGCTCTATTATCAAACCCAGCTCAGAAAGGGAGGCACTCTGATTTGACCAGAGTAATAATATATCTTCCTCAGATTAAGGGGTTAATACAATCTGAGTCCTTCCCTAACTCAGCATCCATCATCCAATTTCCATTCACCACAGCTTTGACTATAAAAGATTTTTGACAGCCTCAAACACTACCTTTAGAAGAAACCCACTAGGCCCCACTAGTCATGGGCAACACCATCTTATCAGCAGACCTTTAAACTACTATATAAAGAACATTTCTACATTGCAACACCTTCAGCTGCATGAACTCTGCTTTGGGTCTTGAAAACTGTCTGTAAACATCTACTGTTATTTCATTTCATGCCTACTGAATATCACAGAAGTGAAAGGAAAGTTAAGACAAAGATTATTTTAGCTTAATATCTTTTTCTAGAAGTTAGAAGCTAGTTCTCAGGAATTAACTATTACTTCATTCACAAGAAGAACAAGAAAAGTCACTAGGCCTTAATTTTCATAAATGGAAAGCTTCAAGAAATTCAAACAGAGAATTATATGATGTTTCTTCAGGGTGCCTGTTTTCCACACAAATCAGTAAAATATGTTTTTATGAGAAACAGCATACACCTCCCACTGCACTCCTCAGTGGGTGCGTTACACTTCTGCTTTTCCCTTCACCTGGTACCTGAAACTGAAACACTGGTCAGATCCTCACATTGTTTTCATTACACACGGACAATATAACTGAAGGTGGAACTTATGGGGATTTTTTTTGTTCATTTCAGCACAGTCTTAGAAACCTGCAGTAAGACCACGCGCCCTTACACCAGGCAAGGCTGACTATTCCACTTCAGTAACAGAGTAAAACATACACTTTTAAGTTTAATGCTAATCATCTGAGTAGCAAACATTCATTTCTCTTCATGTTTAATGTCTGTGCATTTTTACCTATAGGTTTAATTTTACGTGATCTTTGCCACTGCTCATATGGTGCATGACATCAATTACCTTTTAAGTTGATGGGTATGTATATGGAGACACCTAACTAACACAGCCTGAAAGCTAAGACATCGAAGGACAGATAAAACACGTGTGTAAAACCTGACAAAGAGCTGGCAGCTTTAGAGGTATCTGGACACTTAGAATTTCCTGTCTCTAAAACAGGATGAAGGCTGAAGGTGGTCTTGGCTCAGCAACTATCCTTAAGCATAGACCCTGCAGTGTGATAGAAATCAGCAGGCATACTGAAATTGCCATGAAGTTTAAGCTTAAACTAACTTAGTAGTTAGCTTAAGTTTCTTTTTTTTTTTTTTTTTTTTTAAGTTCGCTTACTTTTAGGTAAGTAAAGCTTAAAATCTACTGAAAATTATGCTTTCTGATTTCTGGGTGATCCATGTAGAAAAATGCACATTGCTCAGAACTGGAATGGAAAACACTGAGGTTGCTCTATCACAGTATTTGCAAAAAGGACAACTGTAGTTCTCCACAAAAATACAAGCTCTAGGAAGAAATGGAACAATTATTCTCCATTGATCATTTCTGCATAAAGCTTTACTCAGACTCCCTTTTGGATGCTGCATAAAATGTCTGTGAACAGTTTTTTCTTCCAAAATGACACAATTAGTATGCATGGAAGCCCAGGAAAATTATGTCCAGAATTCCAGAATTTCCTATGATTGTACTGCCTGGCCAAACACTTCGAAGAAGGAAGGTGTACCTTAAAAAATAAAAAAAAAATCTTAAATAAGTTGGTTGCTTTGTTCCTGTAAAACTAGAGGAGCTGCTGTACTATGGGACGTCTGCTAAACTCCTACATTTTTAAAGTGGTAAAGCCTCTTAAAGTAATTCAGTGCACATGAGGTGAAAAATGAAAGTTATATGGGATGTCCCAGTGTAACAAACATTTCTCATTGCAGTGTTACAAAACTTCTTACCTTTCTATTACCACCCTTGAAAATATGATTATTATAATAAAGTTTGTAACGGAGGGGGGGAAGCCAGTTGCAGTCAGTGCTCCATGGAGCACTGCATCAATAGCACAAAAGATCTACTACACTGTCAAACATAAAGGAGATTTTCAGCTTATCATCCACAAATGTGTCTGTCTTCTACAAAACTTCCAGCTCAGGCAGACAGACCATGCAGCACAGCAGATCAATAGGCTATTACTGCTTCAACCTGTCACTCCACTCCCTTCACACACTTTGCTATTATTATGATATACTGATCTACCTCTAAAAGTTAAATCAGTGCTGGTTTACTAGAACATGCTGAAAAGTGCAGCATTCTGGGCACTGGTTCACAAGCAGGCTACAAAGGAAGTACTGTCTGTCAGAAAGGTGCAACAGACAATACAGAACAGCAGTAGCTTGGGTTATGTTGCTTCCATTGTCTCTACTTATTCGTCCAAGCTGAATTAGATGTAGAGGTAAATATACCCAAAGGACTTAAAGACAAATATGAAATTTAATTCATAAGCAATATGAAAACAACTGCTCTGGTTCAAGTCAGTATTCTATGTATGATGCTTTCTCCTCATGCCCTCCTTGCCTTTGACCACTTTCAGCTCAAGTGATTTGCTGAGCTTCCTATAGCTTGTCTATTCAGTAGTAGTATGGATTGCTTTTCAAACTGACTCACAAGCTACTCCTTAAATCTGTCTGTAGTTCTTCCAGTAACAGCTTCCTTTGGCAAGGTGCTCCACAGTCTGCCCAGGACTGTGCATCTTGTATGCCTTACTCTCCCTGGTGAGTTCTTGGGTTAGAAGAGGCAGTAAACAGGCAAACCCTGCCTGTAGTGCTCATACTATACCCTGCTCATCAGACCACCTCTCTTAGACATCTCTAAGCCAACTCATCTAGTCCTAAATCAGAGGCATTTCTAAAACTTTGCTTATTGCTCTTGCCTTTGCTGAAACTTCTCCAGTTTCAAAATTACTTTCTTTGTGATAAGAAGAGAAAGCATGGGAGAAACAGGGATTTACACAATTGTATAATTACGCTTTTTGGTTTGCTCCAAACTTGTTATCTAGTTATTCTTCACATTTGTTGGAACTAACCGTCTTTCTGAATCTGCATGGTAAGAATCACCTCAGAGATGATTGTTTTACACAGAAATCAGAACTACTTTCTTACTTTTCTACACTGAATTATATCTGCTTTTTTTTATTCCTCAGTATATAAGTAATCTCATAGTATTACTTTCTGCAATCCCTGTCCTGCTACCTTGAATAACTTCATAATATCAGTAAATGTTGCTCATCCTTTTTCCCTGCTTACCTGTGACTATGTTAAGCAACTGAAGTCCAAGCACAAAATTCCACTTAAAATGCAGTTATAAGCACATCAGAAATTGTAACATTTATTCTAAGCAACCACATTATAAACACTGGTAGAATGATTAGAAGGGCTGCAATGGAGAGACACGGGTTTTTGAGGATGAAGGGGCAGGAATGACGAGGTGGGGAAGTGACCTGCTGTGTAAAAGCAATAGAAATGCAAACAGAAATGCCCTGGGACAGTCAAGAGCTTCTGTGTTAAGACTAGTGGCAGACCAACATGGGCACTGTTGTAGTGGGTACCTGCTATCACCTGCCTGCTCAGGAGAAAGCAGATTAACACATTCAGCAAACAAGTGGAAGTTTAACATCACAGCCTCTGGTCCTCCAGGGGAACTTTAACCCCCCTTAAAATCTACTGGAAGGGCTGCCCAGTAGGGCTTATGTAATTGGGATACTTCTCAAGTGCATTGCAGCCTCCTGGAACACATAGTGGAGGAGCCAAGAAGGGAAGGTGTTCAGCCAGGTCTGATACTTAAAGAAGACAGAAGAAGACTATTGGGAAATGTGAAAGTTGGAGGCTGCCTCGGCTGCAGTGACTATAAAATGGTGGAAGTCAGGGTCCTAAGAGGAAACAGGAGGGCAAAAATCAAGACCACAGCCTTGGACTGCACCAAAGTACATTTCCACTTCTTCAGAGATGTGCCTGGAAGAATCCCAGGACAAAATCCTGTGGAGAAGAAGGTTCCAGTAGGGCTAGCTGATAAGCAAGGATCACATTCTGTAGTTCAAGAAAGGTCTGTCCTGACAAGTAAGAAATCAAGCAGAAAAATCTTACAGAAGAAAATCTTACATCCGCAAGATGGATGAGCAAGCTGCTGCTAACAGGAGTTGAATCTGGGAAAGTACGTGAACAGCAACAAAAAAGGACTTTACAAGTATATAAACAGCAAAAAGAAAACAAAGGAAAATATGTGTCTGCTGCTGAATGGAGCACAGGAACCGGTGATAAATGGTACAGAAAACTCAGTGCCTTCCTAGAGTTCAGTCTTAACTAATAAGTTTGGCCTTCACAAACCCAAGGCCTCTGAGAACAGAGTGAAAGTATGGAAAAAAGAGTAATTACCCTCCGTGGAGGAGAACTAGCTTGGGAAAAAGTTAAGCATACTTGAAATGCAAAGGTCCATGGGGCCTGAAGAGATGCACCCGAAAGTGCTGAGGGAACTGTCAGTCATGCCAGAGCCAGTCTTGATTACCTAGGACAAAGCACAGATCACTTCTATCTTCAAGAAGGGTAAGTAGGAAGTGTGGGCAACTCCAGGGCACTGAACCTCAGTCTCTAGGAAGGTGTTGGAAGAAAGTTTTTCTATCAGTAATAGGATTTGGAGGGATGGGAGGGCTAATATGATAAGGACGATGGCAGGTAGGATTGTTCAGACAAGTTCTACTTCTTGTGCATCAACAGTGTTGGAAGAAAGTTTTTCTGGAACAAATTTTTAAATTCATGAAGGACAAGGAGGTTTTGGGAGTAGTCAGCATGGATTTACAAGGGGAAAACACATTTGTCCAACCTAGTAGCTTTTACAATGAGGTCACTATTTGGGCACATAAAGGAGGGAGCAGCTGATGTTCTTTACCTTGCCTCTAGTGAAGCCACTGTATTCCCACCCTCACAGAAAGCTGTCAAAGTACAGGTTAGAAAAGTGGATAATGACAAGGATTGAAAATGGGCTGAGCTGCTGGGCCCAAAGGGTTACTACCAGTGCCATGAAGTCCAGCTGGAAGCAAGCCAGGAGCTGTGTACCTCAAGGCTCAATACTGGGGCCAACACAGTTTAACCTTTCCATTGATGACCTAGATGATGGATGAGAGTACATCCTCAGTAAGTTTGCAAATGGCACAAAGCTGGGAGGAGAGGCTGATACACCAGATGGGTGTGCTGCTGTTCAGAGGAACCTAAGGAGGTTGGAAAAATAGGCGGAGAGAAATCCCAGACAGAACTCTCAACAAGGGTAAATGCACAGTCCTGCTTCTGGGGAAGAACGATCAAGGCACCAGCACCTTCTGGCAGTTGCATAGCTGGAGAGAAGCTTTGTTGAGGAGGACCTTTGGGTGCTGGTAGATCAAGCTGACCATAGTTGATCAATATGCCCTCAGGGTGAAAAAGGCCAACAGTGTCCTGGGCTGCATTAGGAAGAACACTAGCAGCTGGTCAAAGGAGGTGATTCTTCTCTCTACTCAGCCCTAGTGAGGCTGCACTTGAGAGTTCTAGGTCCAGTTCTGGGCTCCTCAGTGGAAGAAAGACATGAATTTAATTGAACTGTGTCCAGTGCAGGGCCACAAAGATTATCTGTAGGATAAAGGAATAGTCAAAATAGCTTTCAAAGTCAAAAAAATAGGCAAATAGTAAAAAAAGCTTTCAAAAAGGCTATATTTTTTTTTGTATAATCTCTGCAGCTGCTTGACATAAGATTCTTTGTCAAAGCAGAAATCCAGTTTTGTTGTCCCATGCTACACATCCCATAAAGTGGGTTTGGTGCACTACAGCGGTACTGGTGTATGTCTAAAGAACCCACCTATTGGAGAAATTTTCCCAGACCTTTAGGACAGTTTTGGCTAAGGATTGAATACAGTGAACTGATGAAAAGAACTGGGTTTTTTTTTTCTCTGTTTCTCTGTTTTGGCCTACACACTCTGAAATACTTCCAATGACAGAAATCAATAATTTAATGCTCCCACTTATTCCATATAAAATCAGCCAGATTTTAGATTCAGAAATCTCACTGGAAGTCTATGGCAGCTAGAGCCTGACTCTGTTTTCTTATATTTATGAAACCCAGCATTATGATACCGATAAAACAAACATAGCTTTTGTAAATCAGCCCTATAAAATCTCCCATAACGAAAAGCCTGCTCAAAAAAAACCCAAATAGCATTGTCATCAGCATCCATGTTGAGAATGAAAAGATTTTTAAATTTTATTTTAAGAGGAACTCTTAAGACACATTTTAAATGGAATGAAAAGAAGTTTTGTGTGCATTAACAGCTGAGGCCTTATAGTAGGAGACATGCTAGGATAAGCTGGGGCCGATGACAGGAGAGATTAACAAGGAAATCCTTCATTTTAGCTGAAGGCGACATTTCATGCGATGATTTTTGCATCTTGAATATATATATCATTGCTTGCTTTACTGTAAAACTTCTCAGCTCATGTGCAAGCAGCTGAATGTTTAGAAAGACATCCTCAATGTCCTGCAGGAGGCATGAACCATGCCAAACTAAAACTTTATCACAACCCTGGTGGCAAATGTCCACATGAGTGAATAACCCCTTTTTCTTTGAGTCAAGAAGTTCTTGGGTTTTTTTCTCCTTTTCTACTGTTGTTTTTTCAGAAGACAGTTAAATTACTGTATCTTCTTTTTCTTTTTTAGTTTTTTGACATCTTTTGCCATGCCTTGGGACATTTACAAATGTTTGTGATCTCTGCAGCAAAAACATATACTGTTAGTTAACTGCTACTCAACCAGCTCAAGTTACAACACAACCTGAATACTAAAATAAGCACTGTTTTTTAATCAAAAATTTTGGCTCTGGATGTGAAAAGAAAGGTAGTCATGGAATGCAACTAATTTTAAAGCATATAAATTCTAAACAGATGTATTGTTTTAATGCCCAAAAGTTCACTGGCACTTAGATTTGATGTCACTCAGCACATGGTTAGGAAATGTATCTGCTTCTGAGTGCTACAAGCTTCATGATTTAGGGATTTGTCTATTAGAGGACTGAGTTCTTTCTGTTAAGGCTGACTGCAGCCGATACTTTAAAAACCACAATCACCGCTATTTCACCATGCTGATGTTGACAGTATACATTTATTGGTAAACTATCATGTTTCTCAGTTCAGCTGAACACCAGCTTCTTACAAGAAAAGGTGCTTCTTTCCATATTCAGATGAGTGATTTGTCTTTCAAAGATAATCTGTTCATTGTTGTCCCTTTTCCCTTCCAACTATTAACTGTCTTTGTTTATTCCCTTCTTGATTATCTGACTCCAGATGTCTCGGCAACCTTCCCTTTGTTTCTAATGAGTCAAAGTGCCACTGGTTCACATTATGAGAATGAAATACAAGTTTCCACTGCATATTTTCAAGCATATGAAAGGGCACAGCCTCCCTGGAGCTCCTCAGACATGTGACTCAATGTGAGATGGAAAGAAAAAAAAATCATGTGTCAGCATTGTCTGTAAAGCCTGTTTCACTCCTATTCCACTGTGTTACTGAGATGCTCTGAGCGTTTATCAGGTCTTTTCTAATCTCTGACTTTCCTGCAACGGGGTTTTTCTGCTCAGTCATACAAAATAGTCACAGGTATCATATTCCAAGGATTCTAAGCATGACTCAGAAGATTTTCCAAGTGAATCAAAACTTCTAAAGAGGGACACGTGAAACACCACGAAGAGGAACCAATTACCAGTTGGTAAATCAACTGCTGGAGAGCACCTTGTGTTAGTCTTCAGGGAAAATTGAACAACTTAGACCTTGGCTTTTGTGGTTTTTCTCTACTCAAAAACAATTCTCATAGTTTAAATGAGTAATTGCAAGATGTGGGGTCTCATACAAACAGTGCCAAATACAGAAAATTATTTGATATTTCCACTGCCTTTATGCTGCGCATGTAAGTTTTGTGGCACTGTAACAAGAATTTTTACAGTAAGGGTTGTTCATCCCTGTGACACAGAGCCTGTGAATGACCGTCAGGCTGCAGAGCCTTTCTCTGGGGATCCTCTCGTTAATGTGAGTTCTAGCACAACAACAGTCATCTGGCGTCTCTCAGTGCACTGCTTAGGCACACGGAAGGTACATTAACTGTCAATGGAAAAGTGAAGTTTGTTGCTTCAAGACAGCTTATGTAGTCCTGTCCATAAGATTTGTGCTCCAGACCCTTCACCAGCCCTTCTCTGGACACACTCCAGCACCTCAATGTGCTTCTTGTAGTGAGGGGCCCAGAACTGAACACAGCATTCAAGGTGGGGCCTTGCCAAGTACAGGGGGAAGATCACTGCCCGGGCCCTGCTGCCCACACCATTATGATAAAAAGGGTCACACATGGCTTTTATCCACACAATGGGTTTTTAACCATGTATTTTTTACATACATATTTGACTTTCCTCCAAAAAATACCTATAAAAGACAGGAGAAGCTTACTTAAAAGCAACTAATGAGTTTTTCCTCTCCTAAGGTTTCTGATTTTGCTCTATTTACATACTCTATGTGAATCTGGAAGGCCAAAATTCTATTTGAAAGATGGCCAAACTTAAAGGCAGTGTTGGTGCTTCTGGCTGAAGCAAAGACCTTGTCCTTGACTTAAACCTTCCAGAAGTTCCCTTAGAAACATGCTAAGTGGCAATCTAGCCACTCCATAGTGAAGTCAAATTGAGACTGTACTTTAAACAGGACAAAATTATTTTAACTTCATACCTCTATGACTATAGTTCATTCTGATGATTGTTACTATTTGTCTGGGGAGCTGAAGATCCCCCTGAAATACGTCTCTCCTTTGGCTAGATTCTGAATAAAACTGGCCCCCAAAGTACCAGTGTTGTCCTCAAAAGACTGACCTTAAGGATGAAAATACTTTGTGGGAGTAGGGACAACCATGAATTTTCTGCTATATTTCTGAGGTTAAATAACAACTTTAATTTGGCAAAATAAACAAAAAAGTAGTCATCAATAAAACTTATACTTGTGAGTCTTATTTTGCTTGGGTTCCAAACAATGAACCAGCAAGGTCATTATGATATGTAAATTCTACTCCCACACATATTCAGCTTTGCAGCCTATGACACAAAGTCTGTTTTATAAGGTTTCAAATAAGGAGCTATTCTCCTTTTTCATAAGGGAAAGGAATGCACACAACTGAAGAATGCGAAGTACTCAGTTCACACAAACCCACTTTCCAAGGCAAACCGCGTGCAAGGCATCACATTTCTCACACTCTTGAGTTGGGCACAAACTCAGCCCCAGCATGCCATAGAATTAAGACACTGGAGACATCAGGCCTGCTGTGAAGGTATCTAAAGAGAAGAGGTCACCAGCTCAGTTAGGATAGAAGCTGTGGTTACAGACTTGCTGATCCTCTAAGAGACTAATTTAAGTACTGTCCCACAGCATATGCAATCATAATGTGCTGGAGAGCTAAATTCCTCAAGAATAAGGGACATAGCAGCTACTGGACAGACCACTTCAGTTCCCACGTGGGACACCACTTCTTGCAGGTGCTCTGTACTTCTTTCTTCCTCCCAAAACAGTATCAGAGTGAGCAGCGATCCTGAAACCTTTCAGTTTTTGCAAACCCAGCTAACACATCCCTCTCCCCATGAGCTTTCCCTCAACCATTCCTGCTACCACTGAAGTTCTTTGTTTTTGTTTTTTTCTTCAAAGTTTCTGGAGCATGGAGAATGGAAGAAGAAAGCTACTGAGACCCG